TAATGTAGCCTTTGTGGTAGAAGTTTGCTTTACAGTCCAAAATAATCATCAATTGGCTTCAGAGTTTTATGAAAAATGAATGAATTTATCTGATTAAATAGTAAAGGCATGTTATCATTTGCCCACATGGGAGCTGGCGCCATTATAATGCTATCTGCTATCTCCACCATGTCTGTCTGGTTTTCCTTGACTTATTTCTCAACATTTTTTGCATCTGTAGTTGTATCTTAAAGTTCTCTTTTCCATTATTCCTTAGTAGCTTTTTGTTAGTCATTTAAAATACACTAAGGAGAAACAATTGATGAATTTGGCAGTGCAGAGAGAAAGTTCTTTGATACCTGTTGATCCAAATATAAGCATCTACCTCTGTATCTGTAATGAAAAGGACATGATGCCTGCAAAATGTTTTGGCATCAGATTGCTTTCACCAATTATCTTTGGCATTATGTAAGTACTTTTCCATAGTCATGATTTGGGACTAGCAAACCACTCTGAAGAAGGTGGTTATATGGACACATCCAGATTAGCTAGGGAATTATACAACATGATCTTTCTTTTCCACTCAATTTGTCTGCTAATATTTTTTTTTTTCCTAAATGGTGGTATATGCTTCTTTATTCTCACAAGTGTATCCCATATCACATATACATACCACTCCATGTCAGGAAGATACTCTGCACACAGAAAAGGCAGAAAGGTAAGTTACTCCAACTGTGGTGAAAAAGCACAATCTTCAGAAGGTATGTATTGACTTTTCCGTCACTGACCAGTTCATCTCTGGCATCCAGGGCCAGGAATTATTTTATGGTAAAATTCAACTCAGGCTCCTTCCAGTTGTCTATGATCATTTCTGATTTTTTCATGAGCAGATTGTATCTCAGTCCAGAATGAGGACTATAGCTTTATCTGACTTGGACAATTTTTTGATATATAATGAAGGACTAGATCTAGTAGGATTGGGAAAAGTCATATTTCTTTTGTGGCAGCAGCTTCTCATCCTTCAAAAATGTTTCTAAGATATTCAGGATTAGGGTGATATATTTTGGGTTTTATTCTGTAAATAGTGCAGTTGACTCTTTTGATTGTAGAAGAACCTCTGAGCCCAAAGGACTAAAATAATCTATTTGGTTAGTCCTTTCTTGAAGAATGGACTAGCGCTTCTATAACTGGATAGCTATATGGAAATGAAAGCAAGTACATTTTAATTACAGAATGTATAGAGATATATATTGAATTTAGATATACAGGATGTGACTGTTAATCCAGACATAAACTTTTAATGAAACTCAACCAAATATGTAAAAATGGTAGGTTCTTTAAAATTGTTACAGTGGATATCCCTGTATAGAATGATTGCCATTCAAAGTATATGGGGGAAAGTTCTCTTTTGAAATTAGCATCAGAGCAGTTTTTTTTTTTTTAATCTAGAAAATTGCCTCACTACTTTATATCATAGACTATTCTTTTCTGTATCAACCTTGATCCTTACAGTTGCAATTTGCTAATTTATCCCACAAACATCTTCAAAATGAAGTTACCTATCTGATGTTTATATGCCTACTTATGTAGCAAACTCTTGGTAGCTTAGCCTGCATCGGGAGTTGAGAGTTAACCCTCATGTCACCAGTAGAGTTGAATAAGACTTGTGGTTATTATTGGCAAAGGCCGCGTGGAAAAATTGCAAAGAAAGGAGAAAGGGGAAAACAAGTTAATGGAAGAGAAAGAAGGATGAAGTGGCAGGAATAGAAAGAAAGGTAGGAATTGAGTTTTACATGGAAGAGTAGAGATGCCATTAGTAATTGCTTTGGTGACATGCATCACCTGCCTTTGACTTAAATAACAGAAATGGGGCAATGCATTGTAAGGGAAAGCTATAGCCACCAAGGAAATCTGGTTTTTACCCAATTCTTGGGAATAGAATGCTCTATAAAATGTTGCATATCTCTAGCTTGTGTCATATTCTTTAAAATGCTGTTATAAGACTACGTGAATTGGCTAGAAATGCAGTCTGATTGCAAACGGTATTTTTTTGGGTGGGAACCCTGTTCTATAGAATGTTGCATATATCTAATGTATATCATATTCTTTAAAAAGCTGTCATATTACCTTGTGAATTTGTTAGAAATTCAGTCTAATTATAAAAGGTATTTTTTGGAGGGGGATCTTGTTTTGGATATTTCATTTACATAGGTGTTTCTTGGGACAGCAGATTGATCTTCAATGAAAGTGAAAACATCTCAATTTATAGCTGTAAATCCTAAAATAGAGAGTTGTTGAATAGGGAGCTGGCTAGGTTTTGATATTTTTCAAAATAAAGTGCACAGTTCATAATGTGTAGAGAAGTTCATTATATATTGCAGAGCTCTGCATTTTAAGGTCTTCCTCACTTCTTCTAGCACTGGTTCTGTCACTTAAGACATTTTTTTTTTCCTTGCCTGTTTGCCATATTTGGTATTTGTGTGGAAGTTTAAGGTGTCATCACACAGATTTTGCGTTCATGAGTAGAATGTCCATTTAAAACTTGCATCTCATTTAGTATGAGTAGACCAAGATTGGATGATTTTTCACTTTATTCCATCATTCCTTGTGAAAGCAAGGTGGGTTGATGGAGACAGTAAGGTGAATTTCACATTCACTCTGTAAAGATAGCTTTGCACAGCTAGCTGACATGGTGGTTGTGAGGGTGTGACACACTTTCTGGCTGTAGTTCTGTTTCTGCATTCTTTCCGGCTGATTACCATGTGTAAGAATGACTCCCTTGTAGTGAATAGAAAACAAGAATCACCTTATTGGAAACCCAGGTATAACTGATTTACTAATTACCTTGTTGTTGTTGGGTGCCTGGAGTTGGTTCCGACTCATAGCAATCCTATGTACAGCGGAACGAAACACTGCCCTGTCCTGTGCCATCATCACGACTGTTGCTATGTTTGAGCGCATTGTTGCAGCTACTGTGTCTGTCCATCTCATTGAGGGTCTTCCTCTTTTTTGATGACCCCCTACCTTACCAAGCACAATATCCTTCACCAGGGACTGGTCCTTCCTGATAATATGTCCAAAATACATAAGATGAAGTCTCGCCACCCTCGCTTCTAAGGAGCAGTCTGGCTGTACTTCTTCCAAGACAGATTTGTTGAATCTTCTGGCGGTCCATGGAATATTCAATATTCTTGGCCAACACCACTAATTGCCTTACAAAGTTTTAAGACATGACCTTCTACCATTTCATGTAATGATAAAATCATTGGTGGTAAATGGTAAATCATTCTTTACTTTAGGTTAACTTTTAGCGCCTTTTTGAAACCACGATGAACCTAACCATCCCAGATGCAGTGTTGAGTTAGCGTAGGATCCAATAAGATCTACAGAAAGACAGACAAGTAACGTTCTCCAAAGATGATCTTCAGTACCTCTAAAAAATTTGAAACAGAGGATTGACTTCCCAGAGGATAAACATCACCTGAAAGCCAACGTATGGCACCTGTTGCATTTTAAGAACAATAACAACAAATGGAACTTTAAAGCGTTCTTGTAAGAATATTCGTATTGGATATTGAGACCTTACTGGCATTTTAGATCAGGACTGAGAGCCTGGACAACTCCAGCACGTCATAGCCATTACACTATCGGGAATTCAGAATCCATTCTTGGTGTAGTGTGGCAGCACCACTCCCTTTGGCAACCTGCTGTTGTATTCCTCTCTTCTTCACCACATCACAGGATGCTACAAAGAAACCCGATTCACATGCACACACCCACACATCTATACAAGGATTGTCCTTTTTAGGGACTTTTTGAAAATAGTAATTTTAAACATCTCAGATCTACAGTTGACTGGAGCCCTAGTGGTGCAGTGGTTAAGAGCTCAGCTGCTAACCCAAAAATCAGCAGTTCAAATTCACCAGCTGCTCCTCAGAAACTCTATGGGGCAGCTCTACTTTGTCCTGTAGGGCCGCTGTGAGTAAGAATCGACACGATGGCAGTGGGTTTTGGTTTGGGTATCTGTATTTGCCACCGTTGTTATATTTGCCAATGGACTGCTTTGAGATGCATACAATTCTGGGTTCTTGTTACTAGTGTTGTGCCCTGCAGAAGTAAATGTGGAACAGTCTGGGGCATGTTAAGTATTTAACACACCTCAAGTTCTCGGGTTTAGGAAATGGATGTTATAATAGCTTTGTGGGGGTGAAGAGAGGGGAATAAATGTGGATCCTTAGCCCATCGTCACAGCCTGATACCAAGTGCTACATTGCTAGTCATACATTGTGGGCTACTTGTTGGAGAAATTGCTAGGTTCACACTGGCATGTGATAATAAATGTTCTTTGCTTTCAACAAATCAATACGAAGCAGCTGTGGATCGTGTAGACAGTGGAGTGTGAAGCACCTTTTCAGGCAGTTTTTTGCTGGAGTGGCTGTTAAGCTGCACTGTTGGCTATTGATTGACCTTTTGCTTTTTATTTATTGTGTGGGTTTATTTATTTTTTTAAGGTAGGTTGGCGTATTGATTAAATCTGTTAAAAACACATTTCCCATTCAGGCTTCAGAAATAAATAAATAATATATGTATTACTTAGTATACAAACAAGGGGACAAGCTTGTATACACTAATTCTGTCTCTTGGCTAAGTATAGGTACACAGGCATTACATTATGAGCCTGTGTTATTATTTGTATAGCAATAATTTCCAAGGATGTCGGACTACAGTATCTTTTCAGTTATGTGTTTGTATTCCAGTTCTGTTTTCCCCACCCCTGCTTGTCCAGCAAATAGGCCAAATTTGAGAAGTTTACTTGTAAGACAGCTGTTTGCTGCTTAGAACACACTCTGTCGTTGTTATTAATTTCCATCGGGTCAGCTCCAACTCATGGTTACCTTTATGTAAAACAGAACAAAACATTGCCCGGTCCTGTGCCATCTTCGTGATCATTGGTATGTTTGAGTCCATCGTTGGCACTATTGTGTCAATTCATCTTATTGAGGGCCTCCTTCATTTTCACTGACTCTCTGCTTTACCAAACATGATGTCCTTTCCTAGCAATTGCTTTTTCCTGACGAAGTGTACCAACTCAGTGAGCCACAATGTTGCCATCCTTGCGTCTAAGGAGCACTCTGGTTGTACATATTCTAAGAATTATTTGTTTATTCTTCTGGAAGATCATGGCTAGGGGTGGATTAACCAGTAAGCAAGGTACATAGGGCCTATTTGTGCTTACTTACCAATCTGTAGTGCACAATTTCACATGAGTTTTACCACATCAAAGATGTTTGGAAAAACAGGTGAAGTTGTGCACTACAGATTAGTAAGTAAGCACAAGTAAGCCCACGCATACCTTACTTATTGGGTAATCTGTCCCTGACCATATTGTATTCAATGTTCTTCACCATCACCATAATTCAAATGTGTCAATTCTTTTGTCTTCTTTTTCATTTTCCAGCTTTTGCATACATATGAGGTGACTGAAATTACTATGGTTTGGGTCAGGCACACCATAGTCATCAAAGTGACATCTCTGCTTTTTAAAACTTTGCAGAGGTCTTTTCTAGCAGATTTGCTCAGTGCAGTACGTCCTTTGATTTCTTGACTGATGCTTCCATGGATGTTGAATGAAATTATTGGCAACTTTAATTTTTTCTCCATTTATTGCGATGTTGTTTATAGGTCTAGTTGTATAGATTTTCATATTCTTCATGTTCAGGTAGAATCCATCCTGAAGGCTGTAGTCTTTAATCTTCATCAGTAAGTACTTTAAGTTGTCTTTATTTTTGCCAAGCAAAGTTGTTTCATCTTCGTATCGCAGGTTGTTAATGAGTCTTTCTCCAAACCTCATGTTGCATTCTTCTTCATATAGTCCAGATTCTTGGCTTATTTGTTCAGCATACAGACTTAATGGGTAAGGTGAAATAATACAATGCTTTCACACACATTTCCCAGTTTTAAACCATACAGTGTCCCCTTGTTCTGTTCGAAAGACTACCTCTTGATCCATGTACAGTTTCCACATGAACACCCTCCACCATTTGTTTATTCATTCACTCAGCAGATATTTCTTATTTGAAGATATGATAATAAATAAGATAAAGTCTTGCCCTTAAAGACATTACAATATAATGGACATGTGAAGGTGTGCCAATAGAAATATGTACAGGATATAGTGAGAATGCATAAAGTGGAGGGAAGTCAACTTTCCCTTGAGTTAAGACTGTAAAGAAGAGCAGCTGCTATTAGGAAATTTTTTTAAATTGGAGAATGAGTCTTTAAAATTTTATAAGTGGTTCCTAAGGAGACATGGTCTAAAGGAAATAGGAAAGGAGAGGCAGCATTTCAGCAAGCAGAAAAAAATATGTTATATCCACTGTTTACATTCTAGCTATTTCCTTCAAATCTTTATTGCAAGTATTTATATGACTAAGATCACACTCTGTTTAAAATTTGTGTCCTGTGTGTTTTGTGTAACATTGGGTGAAAGTCATTTTCCATAATATGGGAAAAAAAAATGGTCGGATTTCCTAATCTTCTTCAGTAGAATGCACATTATGGTGGTGAGTTCTTGGGGAGGAATTCCCCAGGTTGAATCTTTTGCTGGATCCTGGTTATAGGCCTAATAGGGCCTTAATCTTCTTTTATTTCATTGAACCATTAGTGGATATTGATCTTGAAAATTTACTTGTAATGAACCAAATTTTTAAAATGATCATTTTTAAAGTATATAACTTATTAATTATAAAAGATATTATAACATCATCATTAAATTAATTGGCTTTAGAATCAAACTCAGAATGCCATTCCTAATTCTTTCTAATGTTGTAAAATTGAATTATTCACATAGCCTCTTGAAACTCTGGTATAGAACAAAGTGTATATAATTAGTACTTAATAAATACGAGTAGTGGTAGTTATTATTATAACTAATAAAGAATACTTGACATTTATCAAGACCTAATCATGTTTCTAATGCTCTACTAGGACAATTTAAAGGTATCGTCCCTTTAATCATTCCAACATTCTTAAGAAATACATACTACTTTTGTCCTGATTTTAACAATGAGATAACCTAGGTCACATAGTTAGGAAGTAGCTGAGTAACGAGTACCTTGTCACAAAAACTCACGTTCTTAAAAGATTTACTTCTATGTCATCATTAGTAAAAATACAGTGAAACCTGTGAGAGCTGGAACTCGACAGGACTGCTTTGTTTTTCCAGGTCTCACAAGTTTTCTGCCTTTGACAGGGTGCAGTCACAACTTTTCTATCACTTGTTTTAGTGGAAAATATTGTATTTTCCTTCTCTGACAGGTTTCTGCCCTACACAGGTTCTGGCTTATGCAGGTTTTACGGTAATAATAGATTAGTATCTGTACTACTTACTAGACTAGAGTGTTTAATTCTAGGCGGTCGGGTCTTCACAGAAAACCAAATTGCATAAGAATATAGGGCTGGAAAAGGGAAGCTTTGTGTTCTTGGTTCTTAATTTTATCTTATTCTGGCATTCTGAACACTAGGTATTTCTGTTTTAATACTCAGATGAGGCCATTCGAATATTTTTTTCTGATTAACTGTGTTAGAAAAGAGAACAATAGGAGCTATCCCTCTCTTTGCCCCTGGCTATTTATGTTTTCATTCCCTGTTGACTCAGACCTTTTGATTTCCATGTGTTTATTATATTGCTTTTCCAATATACGTCATATAGGATAGTGCATGAGAACACTGACGTAGAGTGGGATGACTTGTGTTCACATCTTGACTATGTCCCTTAACAACTGTGTTACCCCAGACAAGTTAATTCCTCTATGTATCTAAATTGGGGGTAATTACAGGTCATATCTTATAAGGTTGTTGTAGAAAGTGAGTTGATAATTGTGAAGTTTTAGGACATGGCACATATTGGCCCCTAGAGAACTGTGGGCTACTCTGTGAGTGCAATTTTGAAAAAATTAAAAACATGACTCATATAAACAGTTTTCAAAAAGCTAAAAACATAACTCTGATACAAATATAGAGTGAACATGTGTCAAATGTACTTCTTAATAAGGGAAACTGCAAGATGATAAAATTCATACAGAGAATATTTGAGGAGCTAGATATTTATAGGCATTAAAACGAATATTAGAATACAAATTTAGGTTAGATATAAAACTGGTTAATGTCCCACAGGGCAAAAATACCTTAACCTTTAGTGTTATCTTTTCTACTGAACCAAATCTACAAGTTAACATGTCACCTCACAGAGCCCAGACCCTAATTAACAGTAAATAGCAACATCAAACACAGGTACAATTTCCTATGGAATTAAATATTCCATGGATAGACCTATTAAACAATGCCCCTCCCTATATGATAGTGAAAGGACTCTCCTTTAGCCTTTTTTCTACATTTTGGGTAATTTTTATTAACACTATCACTATCGACTCAATTCCATTGTTTTTTTAACCTTGAATGTCTCTCTTGTACACAATTATCTTTTATTTTTTCACCACAAAACTGTGTATCAATCACTGTGCTGAATTTGCTATGCCGTTTTGTCATTTAGACCTCATGAGGACTCTAGGAAGTATAAACTCTCCTTATCCCAGTTTTACAGATGAAGGAGGCAAGAAGAAGAGAAAGGATTTGCACAAGGTCAAAAACTGTTAGGTGAGGGGACAAAGATGCAGTTATGTTTGTCTTACTGCAAAGGCTGGGCTCTTGACTGTGGATGCCTTCTAATATCTTAAGGAAAGCTTCTTAATGAAAACGCATCTGAATACATAGGAATGTAGATCTACTTAGCCACATAAATGCTTATTACTTTTGTTAGCCTCAATTGCAGCTTATTACTTTTTTTTTTAAGTGATATCCAGTGTCTACACTGCTATATAGAGGGCCCGTACCTTTCAGTTTTTACTTTGTTCATTTTAAATAAGGGCATCATTAGGACTGATCAGCTCAAGTAATAAGAACAGAAGTTCCTTTAAGCAGGTGCCATTTGGTAAGTTTGGAAGATCTGGGCAGGTGGGAGGCTGAGTCCAAAGAAGTCAGCAAAGCTGGGAGGAGCAGAATGGGACCATGATAGACATGAACTGGAGGGTCAGACAGATATAAATGACACACTCATGAGCAGGCAGCACCAAAGGTAAAGTCCACAGTTGTTTCCTTGCACCTGTTTTTTTTTTCTTTTCTTTTTTTTTTAAATTCTTGAGCCCACAGATAAGCAATGTGGGAGGCCAGATAATGGAAACTAAACCCAAGGTCTTCCGCAAGGAAGGATTAAGGAGTGGTACTCTTGGGATCTAGTTTCGTAGATGTGGATTAGCTTTTTCCCATGGGAACAACTGTTGTCAGTAAGTTTCCCTGATTTGATTTTGACTTTCCTTAAGCTATAATGGAAGTTCCTGAATGGTGCAAACAGTTAACGTACTTGGCTGCTAACCGAAAGATTAGAGGTTTGAGTCTATCCGGAGTCGCCTCAGAAGCGAGGCGTGGAGATCTGCTTCCAAAAAACAAGCTGTTGAAAACCCTGTGGAGCACAGTTTACTCTGATACACATGAGGACACCATGAGTTGAAATCAACTTGACAGCAGCTGATTACTGGTTAAGCTATACTAACTGCTTATATTAATACACATGTGGTACTAAACAGGACTACTTACAACTTTTGTCTTATACAACTCTCTATGAAAATGAACTGGGACTCATAGGTAAACCATTGATACCTACAAATTCTAGGAGATACCTGCATCTATGGTTGCTTGCCAAAAGTGAAGAGGACTTGAAGCACTTACTCATGAAGATCAAAGACCACAACCTTCAGTATGGATTGTACCTCAACATGAAAAAACAAAAATCCGCACAACTGGACCAATAAGCAACATCATGATAAATGGAGAAAATATTGAAGCTGTTAAGGATTTCATTTTATGTGGATCCACAATTAATGCCCATGGAAGCAGCAGTCAGGAAATCAAATGACATATTACACTGGGCAAATCTGCTGCAAAAGACCCCTTTAAAGTGTCAAAAAGCAAAGATGTCACTTTGAAGACTGAGATGTGCCTGACCCAAGCCATGATATTTTCAGTCACCTCATATGCATGTGAAAGTGGGGCAGTTAGTAAGGAAGAATGAAGAAGAGTTGATGCCTTTGAATCATGGTGTTGGTGAAGAATGTTGAATATACCATGGACTACTAGAAGAACGAACAAACCTGTCGTGGAAGAAGTACAGCCAGAATGCTCTTTAGAAGCGAGGATGGCAAGATTTCATCTCATGTACTTTGGACATGTTATCAGGAGGTACTAGTCCCTGGAGAAGGACATCATGCGTGGCAAAGTAGAGGGTCAGTGAAAAAGAGAAGGACCTTCAACAAAATGGATTGGCACAGTGGCTGCTGCAAGAATGAGCTTGTCTTAGGCTCGGTTCTCTACAGAAGCAAAATCAGTAGAAGTGTATATATATGTGTATATATAGAGAGAGAGAAAGAGAGATTTATGTCAAGGAAATGGCTCACGTGGTTGTAGAGGCTGAAAAGTCCTAAATCTGTGGGTCAGACTGGAGGCTTCTCCTGAGTCACCTAGCTTCAGGGGCTGGCAAACCCAAGATTGGCAGGTCAGAGAGCAGGCCTATGGCTCACAGGCTGTGGAGGCTGACAAATCCCAAAATCTGCAGTTAAGATGGCTGGCCACTGGCTCAGAGGCTGCAGAGGCTAACGAATCCCAAGATCAGCAGGTAAGCTGCTAGCTCAAGTCTCAAAAACTGGAGGTCAGATGCCGGAGCCAGAGCGAGCTAAAGCCAGCGAGCTTTGCCAGAAAGTCCGCATATATTGAATGCAGTCCACACCCCCAAGAAAACTCCCTTTCATCTGATTGGCTGCTCATAGCAGATCTCATCATGAGATGATTACATCATTACATAGCTGCCAAACTGCATCATAAGTGCAAACTACTGAGAATCATGGCCCAGCCAAGTTGACACAGAACCTTAACTATCACAGGGTTCAAACACAGCAATGATTGTGAGGGTGGTGCAGGATAGGGCAGTGTTTGTTTTGTTGTATACAGGGTCACTATGAGTCAGAACCGACTCTACGGCAACTAATAACAACAACAACAACAACAACAACGACGGTTTAAGGGAGAACAGTCTCTACAATTCATAAACCTGTT